GGTGAGTGAGCAGTTATAGATTAAAAACAGCACAACAATATCCCAGTGCCTTAACTGCTTTGCTTGGGTGCCTGGAGCTCTGCCCTTCTGGGTATGTGTAAACCAGGTGAGTGAGCAGTGATAAAGAATAAAATCTGCACAACCTCAGTGCCTTAACTGCTTTGCTTGGGTGCCTGGAGCTCTGCCCTTCTGGGTATGTGTAAACCAGGTGAGTGAGCAGTGATAAAGAATAAAATCTGCACAACCTCAGTGCCTTAACTGCTTTGCTTGGGTGCCTGGAGCTCTGCCCTTCTGGGTATGTGTAAACCAGGTGAGTGAGCAGTGACCATGAAACCCCAAGAAAACAATGCTAGCCGGCACAACTCCTATGCCAAACAGCTCAACAAACCTCAAAAACCTGAACTGTCCCACCAGACTTCAAAACTAATCCACAACTAACCACCAACCTGGCGCAAACACTAACCACAACTAACAACCTCAATATGCTCTACACTTCCAAGGCTAGCCACCAAAGCCACAATAGCGTATTGACCAACCACCAATAAAAACAATTCGTGCTTCACCCAGCACAACAAGCTCCAACCTGAGCAACACCTAAGCGCCAAAAACAAGAGCTATACCTAGCCATAATCTGCAATACCAACAATTGCCTTCCAAGAAAACGACCGATTCCGCGTGGTCCGCTAAGCGGCGCAGTGCGGTAAACTTGTCCAGATCCAGCCATTACACGGATCTGGGCCACCAGCCGTATGTACTGAGTAATAGACCAGTACATACTACAAAAAAAAAAAAAAAAAAATAAAATAACATAAATAGAATTTTTTCTTTTTTTTCCTTTTTCCGTTTAATCAAAATATATTATTTTGTTTTGTTTTTGGTCCTAGTATAATTTAATTTTTTGGTTTTTCCGTTTAATCAAAATTTTGTCGACCCTAGTTTAATTTAATTTTTTGTTTCCGTTTTATATTTAATTTTGTCGACGGTAGTATAATTTTGTTTTTTGGTTTCCTCCTTTTTTCTGTTTAATCAAAATATATTAATTTTGTCGACGGTAGTATAATTTAATTTTCGGTTTTTTCCTTTTAATCGGGATATATTTAATTTTGTCGACGGTAGTTGTTCTAAAATAACATAAATAGAATTTTTTCTTTTTTTTCCTTTTTCCGTTTAATCAAAATATATTATTTTGTTTTGTTTTTGGTCCTAGTATAATTTAATTTTTTGGTTTTTCCGTTTAATCAAAATTTTGTCGACCCTAGTTTAATTTAATTTTTTGTTTCCGTTTTATATTTAATTTTGTCGACGGTAGTATAATTTTGTTTTTTGGTTTCCTCCTTTTTTCTGTTTAATCAAAATATATTAATTTTGTCGACGGTAGTATAATTTAATTTTCGGTTTTTTCCTTTTAATCGGGATATATTTAATTTTGTCGACGGTAGTTGTTCTAAAATAACATAAATAGAATTTTTTCTTTTTTTTCCTTTTTCCGTTTAATCAAAATATATTATTTTGTTTTGTTTTTGGTCCTAGTATAATTTAATTTTTTGGTTTTTCCGTTTAATCAAAATTTTGTCGACCCTAGTTTAATTTAATTTTTTGTTTCCGTTTTATATTTAATTTTGTCGACGGTAGTATAATTTTGTTTTTTGGTTTCCTCCTTTTTTCTGTTTAATCAAAATATATTAATTTTGTCGACGGTAGTATAATTTAATTTTCGGTTTTTTCCTTTTAATCGGGATATATTTAATTTTGTCGACGGTAGTTGTTCTAAAATAACATAAATAGAATTTTTTCTTTTTTTTCCTTTTTCCGTTTAATCAAAATATATTATTTTGTTTTGTTTTTGGTCCTAGTATAATTTAATTTTTTGGTTTTTCCGTTTAATCAAAATTTTGTCGACCCTAGTTTAATTTAATTTTTTGTTTCCGTTTTATATTTAATTTTGTCGACGGTAGTATAATTTTGTTTTTTGGTTTCCTCCTTTTTTCTGTTTAATCAAAATATATTAATTTTGTCGACGGTAGTATAATTTAATTTTCGGTTTTTTCCTTTTAATCGGGATATATTTAATTTTGTCGACGGTAGTTGTTCTAAAATAACATAAATAGAATTTTTTCTTTTTTTTCCTTTTTCCGTTTAATCAAAATATATTATTTTGTTTTGTTTTTGGTCCTAGTATAATTTAATTTTTTGGTTTTTCCGTTTAATCAAAATTTTGTCGACCCTAGTTTAATTTAATTTTTTGTTTCCGTTTTATATTTAATTTTGTCGACGGTAGTATAATTTTGTTTTTTGGTTTCCTCCTTTTTTCTGTTTAATCAAAATATATTAATTTTGTCGACGGTAGTATAATTTAATTTTCGGTTTTTTCCTTTTAATCGGGATATATTTAATTTTGTCGACGGTAGTTGTTCTAAAATAACATAAATAGAATTTTTTCTTTTTTTTCCTTTTTCCGTTTAATCAAAATATATTATTTTGTTTTGTTTTTGGTCCTAGTATAATTTAATTTTTTGGTTTTTCCGTTTAATCAAAATTTTGTCGACCCTAGTTTAATTTAATTTTTTGTTTCCGTTTTATATTTAATTTTGTCGACGGTAGTATAATTTTGTTTTTTGGTTTCCTCCTTTTTTCTGTTTAATCAAAATATATTAATTTTGTCGACGGTAGTATAATTTAATTTTCGGTTTTTTCCTTTTAATCGGGATATATTTAATTTTGTCGACGGTAGTTGTTCTAAAATAACATAAATAGAATTTTTTCTTTTTTTTCCTTTTTCCGTTTAATCAAAATATATTATTTTGTTTTGTTTTTGGTCCTAGTATAATTTAATTTTTTGGTTTTTCCGTTTAATCAAAATTTTGTCGACCCTAGTTTAATTTAATTTTTTGTTTCCGTTTTATATTTAATTTTGTCGACGGTAGTATAATTTAATTTTCGGTCTTGCGCGAGCATTTGTACCTGGCCCCTTATAATCTCTGCATACAGCAACAAGAATGGCAGTGGTCTTCATCTCCACCACGTTTTGGTTCTTGTGCCTTTGAATCGAATCCTGGGGCCTCCTAGCTGATGTCCGTGTTTTATTACTGATGTTTTTATGCTTGATGCCCTATAACTGCCACTACCTTCCTCAATGGTCTGCAAAACCGTCTATGATGATCATATTTAATGCCTTATACTGTATATCGTTCTTGATGTGCCTCCCGTTATGCCCTGTGCCATATTACTGATGTACTTATGCTTGATAATCCACAACACTACCCATTATGACGTCTATTGAGCAAATCCTGTTAACTGATGCCCTTATGCTTGATACTCTAAAATTTCTCTCTGCCACTACACCATCCACGATGCTTACGTCAACCGTCCTACGATGTACTTGATACTCCTCTTGATGTCCAGAGCTAGCGTAATACATATACTGACTGAAGCTGCTTCCAAGCCTTCGTGTCCCTGTGCACGATCACCTGGCCAGTTTATACTGCCCCCAGCCAAGCCTTTCGTGCCCCCTGTGCACGATCACCTGGCCGGTTTTACCGTGCCCAGCCCCACACTAATTCACCCACACATTATGCACTGGTTTTTCGGCAAGTTACTTTATCAACTGTTAGCCTTTCTCCTAATCTTCACTTCAATTAATACAACTCTGTCATGAGCACCTCTGTTGATTTGCATACCTACCAAGTACTCGACAGTGACAATAGTTTGTCTAGTATGCCGGAAGCCCTGTCTAAAAACCATGAGCAGCCAAAGTGAGCAAACCGACTATACTATCCAAAACAACGAACAGGACATAGTTTGTCTCGTATACCGGGGGCCCTGTCTAAAAATCATGAGCAGCCTAGGTGAGCAAACTGACTATACTATCCAAAACAACGAACAGGACATGTTTGTCTCGTATACCGGGGGCCCTGTTTAAAAACCATGAGCAGCCTAGGTGAGCAAACAGACTCGACTCTATCTCGGTATGATTATCATGCAGATAGATGCCCATAAGCACTGCATGCTTCTTGTAAATGATCTTCCATTTATAGTCTCCGCCTAAGGATCCCTCTTCACAATCATCCTTGCACTAGAGCTGTATCCCAACGAACTTGACATCTTCCGAATTCTCCAATCTCTATTTTTCAACTTTCTGGAGCTTATACTTATTCAATATGCACATGCATTCCGCTCTGCATACTGGAATAGAGACAATGCCAAGACCGCAACCGTGTATGTTCCAGCTATCCTGACGGCAGCTGTTCATATCACAATTTCTCGTACAGTTGAACAACTCCCATAGTCTTTAATTTCCGAATTAGCCAATCTCCATAAACTTTCTGGAGCATTATAATTATTCGATATGCGCATGCTTTCCGCTCTGCATACTAGAATAGAGACAATGCCAAGACCGCAACCGTGTATGTTCTAGCTATGCTGTCGGAAACTTGTTCATGTTACAACCATCCACTCCATCGACTCCTAATAAACTTTTTCATCATTCAGTTGATGTCTTTGCCATTAATCCAGTTGCACAGTCACACAACATTACCCATAAATAAACTTACTCTATACATTAAAAATCCATCGCACGTCAGTCTCTATGAGAGGGGAGACGCACAAACGACAACGCATGGTAACCAGTTAAAATTTGTTGTCATACCTGGCATTGCAGCAGCAGGGTATTCAAGGTGTTTTTTAGTCCTGCCCTTTGTCTCAAGCAGTAGTTTTTTCATCTAAGTTGCCCTGCACTCTTGCCATTACTACGCCACCTCCTCTCCCTTACAGCACTATATCAAAACAGCTGGCTTATGGCATGTTACGTACAATAAATGCTGTCGTCGCTTTCTGTCCAAAGATGTTATGCTCAATTAATTCACAATCAAATCAAGAAATGAGACAAACACAAATACACTTGCTCTATCTTACCGGGAAATACCCATGATCTATCAAACTAAGTATTGTGATTAATTTTAAGCTACAAATTTTGTTAACTGGAATTTTGTAAACATCTATCTTAAATAAATCCGGACAAGCTTAGCTGCCTACATATGAATGTGGAGCGTGTCTGTGTGGAATATGTTGCTGCACCATGGCCAAGCGGGAACCGATTCTTCCTGTGTGTTCAGTCTTATTCTAATCACTCACTCGCTTCCATTTGAATGTATGGTATCTGTAAATGCTTTGTCAATTAAAAGGAAGTAAAAGGAAATTTAGCTCCACCATACACGGTGGTTACAGAGGAAAATTAAAACAAAAAAAAAAAAAGAAGAGGGGGACGGGGGGGACTTTTCAAAAAAAAAAAGAAAAAACAAAAAAAAAAAGAGATAATCAAATACACTGGATAGGCATCGGTCGGTCGTTGTTGTGCATTCTGTGGAGTGGCCCTAGTGTGTGTCTGAACACACACACGCACATAACGTATGGGAACACACACACACACTGTACCGAATCACCATGACCTACTCCAGCAGCATATTTGCCATTTATACACCTGACAAAAATAAAAAGAAATAGAATGAGGGAATTAGCTTAGAAAAGATATTCTCCTCACTTATTTCTTTGCTCGGTACTCATGTCATTTAACCATCAACTGAATTTTAATTTCACGTCCATATATTCATCTACATCATTAAACAATATTCTCTCGTCAACTTTGCATGGCTCGTATCAAGACTGCTGGCTTATGGCGTACATAAACATGCTGATGCCGCACACACTTTAACTATGCATTCCCCACTTATCCTCTCTATTTCTCTCTATCAATGCTTTTCTCCTACTTTATGTAAATACACTCATCATGCCAGGAACTTATATATTGTTAGGCAATTTTGGGAGCATATATGCATATATATATGTATATATATATATGTATGTGTGTGCTCTCTGAAATGTATGTACAATGTATTTGGCTAAATTTCATGCATATTGAAAATAATAATAATAATAATAATAATATTGAAATTGTAACAATAATCTTAAGCCAACACTACACTACACTACACTACATTACACTATACTACACTACACTATGTCATACATGTATAATTACACATACAAAAAACACATTTATCATAAGCATACACACACACACATACAGAATTAATTACCAATTGTCAACACAATTACACTTTAGTATATAAGTTGAACAATTTGTTTGAATTGATCTGTAATTGAGAAATCAAAATTGTAAGAGAATACGAAGTTAAGTAATGCATATCAATAAACTTTCTGGGTTGGGTCGTCTAAGTCGTTGGATGTTGAGGATAGATGGTTAATCAGGCCGTTCGGATCACTGGGTCAAGTTTGTTTGTTTGTCTGTTTGTTTGTCTGTTTGTTTGTTTGTTTGCAGGGATATATTGGATGTTTGGTGTCTTGCGTGAGACCAGTGTGTTGTGACAGGAAGCATGGTTAGAGAGTAGTTAGATTTAAAATTGAGTGGGCGCCAATAAAGCCGCCCCACTACGACTCGCTTGCTTCCGCACTCACACACACACGCTCACCCTTGTACCATACACCCATTCAACCTCTATATCTCTCACTCACTCACTCACTCGCTCACTCACTCACACACACTCTCCCACTCACTCTCTCTCTCTCTCTCTCGTTATCGGAGCTTAAGAGGGAGTGTGAGAGAGTGCCCATTATGTCCGTACCGTTTTCCCATCTCGTCCCATCCATGACACAGCCTCCCACTCAACAATTTGTTACCAGAAAAAAAAAAAAAATCTGGATCCCAGTACCCATTTCCCTGCCTGTCGAACAGGCATTGAGGTGGGCTCTGGAATCTGGACCGAGATTGTGTTTGTCCTAGCGTCGAACAGTAAACAAAACCGATGCTGACTAAACCGAATATAAAGCGGAGGCAACGACGACAGCCAATGCGCGCACAACAGCTGCAACAACAGCAACAAGCACACACGCCATTGCAAATGCAATTGCCGTTTAAACAACAGCCGCTGCCCCCACTGTCATTGCCCAAGCCAATAAATAAAAATCAAAAAACCAAAATGCGCAAGCAAAAATCAAAACGACAAAAACGAGCGCAGATAGAACGAGCACTAGCACAAAGGCAACAAACAAATGTTGTCAGCACCGCTAATGCTCCCATCATTGATAGTAGCAACAATATCCCTATTAATAATGCACAATCTGTCATCAATTCTGCTCATAACTCAATCACACCGGCATCAAATGCCAATCTCTCAAAAACAATAACAGCTACAGCAACAACAACAACAGAAGCCGAAACAAGGAAAACATCACAAACCTTCACAAATTTGGACCCACGCCTAAGATGGGCCAAAATACAAAGTATCCAACAACGGTTTGGCTCGGCGATTAACCGTGACCAGATTGTTCATATACAACGCCAGCAGCTGGATGCTCTTACATCCACACGGCATAATGTTACCTCAACTCAGCACTCGAACCAGCATGAGCCAATGCCAATGCAAATCGATGCTGAACATCAGCAACAGCCGCCACAACAACAACAACAAACTCTAATTCTTCCTACCTTTGAGCATAACTCAACCACCCAGTTACTGGTTCAGCTTGCCCAACGGCAACAAGAACAGCTTGACAAGTTGATGCGCTGTATGAGTGATGTTCAGCAGAAAATGCGTGATGACGACTCTGCTCTGCTAGCAACACCATCCTCATACAGCTCCAACTGAGGCTCTAAACAAATAACCTATTAACTAACTGAAAAGAAAAGAAATTCTAATTTACCTTATAACATCTAACATCTTTCTCACCTACCTTTATTTATTCACCTTTTCACTACATTAACTAATATAAAACACCTGTACGTGTATGTGTTTGCCTGCATCGCTTGTGGCCACTCTTTGAAATTTCCCGCATCTAATTGCGCTCAACATCGGATGCACGCACACACACACACAAGCTCACGCTCTCACTCAGACGCGTGGCAAAACAAACTTTCAGCCCTCATGTCCATGTGCTGGCACACACTCAAACAAACGATGCGCTGCAATCGTCGCCTCGCCATCACAAAATTATATGCTCGCCCATCGGCTCGCCAGACCAGCCGTCGCCGGATCAGCCCATTACCGCTTGTCTGCATCCCCTCAAGTGCGCACACAGACACGAAGTCTCAGTGATTACTCACACGCATGCGTAAACACACAGCCCAAACATAGCTCAGCTGATTGAACTTCATCATCAACATCCTCGTTATCATCATCACCATTATGCGCAAACCAACGGCGACAACAACAACACCATCAATCATCAACTGCCGCTACATGAAACAAGCAACATCCTTTAGTAGCAGCCGCCGTCGAATAGCAACATCAACAACAACAGTCAACAACTACAGCTTTAATCAACAACTTTATTTAATACACATATATATATATACATATTAACTGCATATTAACCAAATACACTCCCCCATACTTCCATATGTAATGAGTTGTAGCATGAGAGTAATTTAGGCTCTCGGATTGCTGAGCTGGTGCTACTGTTTCTACTAAAGAAACTGCCTTTTCCAATGTGAGAGAATGGCACCGTCTCAATAATCCTTACACATATACATATAGAAATTCTCTTCATTGAAATATTTTCGAGGGATCCATTCTCAATATCTGATGAAATTTCTCAATTACATGCCGCAAACCCATAAAAAATCTCATTCGACGATTCAAAATGTAATATTATCGCAGATGCAAATCGCAATGTCCATTTGAACACACTAAGCACGTACACACAAATAATAACAGGCCGCCATGTAAACCTACTACACGGTGGCAACTTTTCCTAACGCTGCATACCCGTCGCAATCATATATTCATACATGCATAAATATGTACACGCAAGCGCACAAACTTGCTGGTATATATTTGTAGACATATATACGCACTAACGCAAGCACCCGCTCTGTCATAACAAAATATAAACAACAACACAGACACGCACACACACATGCGCACACGCCTGCTTTTGCTCATTGTGAGCTCTTATATCGTCCTCTTGGCATTTACAAATTCCAAAAAAAAGCGTAACTCCTGCCAATTACCTGCTGGCTTATGGTAAACATTGTTTACTGACGCCGCACCAACTCCAACTGTATATTACGTCCACTCCTATCACACCACATCTAATGTATACTATTTAATATCTAATACTTAGTATTTATTTACAATTACAACAAATTATCTCATAATTGGTTTCACACATCACACACTGTACTAAACACACACACAAAAATCAAATCGAATCAAATTCAAAACATTTGTTTATAGTCTTAAGACTTAACCATAACCACAAAATACCCATTAACACTTGTCATCAAAAATTGTTAAACATTTATAACGTTTATCCAACTGAAAAGTAATATATATCAATAAATAAATTTCTGGTCTGAGAATAGGAGATTGAGCGCATTCACGTTCCCAATTGGAGACGGGTGACTGAGTGAGTGGATGAGCGGCCATTGAGTTGGAGTCGAAATTGCAGTCGGATTTGGAGTGTCTTGCTGTCATGTCTCGCTGTCTATCTGTCTCTCCCGCTCGCTCGCTCGGAGTCGGAGCTGGAGTCGGACCCGGAGCTGGAGTCGGACCCGGAGTTGGAGTGTCTCGCTGTCTCGCTGTCTATCTATCTCTCCCGCTCGGAGTCGGAACTGGAGTCGGACCCGGAGCTGGAGTCGGACCCGGAGTCGAAATTGGAGTCGGATTTGGAGTGTCTTGCTGTCATGTCTCGCTGTCTATCTGTCTCTCCCGCTCGCTCGCTCGGAGTCGGAGCTGGAGTCGGACCCGGAGCTGGAGTCGGACCCGGAGTTGGAGTGTCTCGCTGTCTCGCTGTCTATCTATCTCTCCCGCTCGGAGTCGGAGCTGGAGTCGGACCCGGAGCTGGAGTCGGACCCGGAGTTGGAGTGTCTCGCTGCCTTGCTGTCTCGCTGTCCCTCTGTCTCGCCCGCTCGCTCGCTCGCTTGCCCGCTCCTGGCAACCTGCCGCTCGCTCCCCGATTCCCAGTCGCATGAAGCCACTTACCCAGAAAAGACGTGTTTTCCTTAGCCTTAAAAGCGTACGGACGTGTGTCGGAACTGTAAATTTTTAATTGAGAAAGTTAAAGCAAATTATATTTCGAGACTCTGACAATTGTGAAATAGTTAAACAGTGAAATAGTGAAACTGTGAAATAGTGCGATTAGTGGAGGTGAGAGTATAGAAGTCGAGAATAGATTGAGGGGAGAAATTTTGAACACGTGCCCTAGCCTATGTATTTATATACATAGGTGTGTGTGCGACACATAGTACATATATTCTGTGTACGTGTATGTGCTCAGTTGTGCAGTCTCCAGCACATACCGTTCTTCTTTCTCCTCCTTTATTCTTACATACCGCATGCGTGCATGCATAAGTGTATACGCTTGCTTATATAGCATGCCTGTGTGCACATATGTGCGGCTAAACTCTCTTCCTTCGCTTTTTCCACAACCAACTCCTCTCAAAACGTCATTGCCAACGACATTGACATTGACACTTACCTGCACCTAACCTAAAAAAAAAAAACTACTTAACTAATCAACGACTAAATATAACATAACCTAACATCATCAACCAATAAATTGCTGTGTGCTCACATATTTTCAACTCTATTCTCTGCGAAAAACTAAAATTAAAATCACTCCATCATCACATATATATATATATATATATACTCACATAAGAGAGAGCAATTTCTTTACAACAATATCCAAATCTTCACACACATATAACTATATCAACACAAAAACACAAATATCTATTTCAACAAAAACAAAAAGAGACACACAAGGTATTTAATTACAAAGTTACACATATATACTTTTTTTTTGTTTCTTCCCTTCAATTGACATAACTAAGCAACTGAACCGATATAACAAACCAGCAAGCGAGAATATATATATGTACATGTATGTATTAAATTTGTCCTGTGCACGATAGTTGCTGCCGCGCAACTAGCTTTCTACTATACATCTCACGCATTCATATATATATACTTACACGCTCACTCGCACAAATACACTAATACCCATCACTTCTGCTCAAAACTAAAAACAAAAACATTGTACACATCCCACAAAAAAGTCACACATCTATTATACATACACACACTTACACATCATTCTTACTTACACAATATATATGCGTGCGCATGCGTGTGTGTGCTCATATACGCATGAAATTTTGTCCACGTCACCCCTTTGGCTCCACTCTCCCCCCTATCCATCTTGCACACTGACACACTTTGGACACTGAGAGAGAGAGAGCGCACAAGCGGCTGCAACATTGCGCATAAACAACAAACGCATACAAGCCGCTCAGGCAATCGCAGACACTCCCATAAACTTCTTAACAATATAATAACACATTTATACATATCTATATATATTTATTTACATTTCTATTTTAACAACATTAGAGGAAGAAAAATTGCTCATATCAATAATCTTATTTATTACATTTCAACACTTCAGCATTTATAACTAGAATTTAAAACTTAAAATAAAAACTTTCACCCCTCCTTGACCAGGTGTGCCGTCACCAAAAACCAAGGGGATATCCTCAGCTGGAAGAAATAATAATAATAAATAAATTTCTTTTAATTCAGGCGTGTCGTCGTCAGTCCAAATAATAATAATAATTTCAAATAATAACAAATACTTACCTTTATTTAGAAAACAAGGTGTGCCGTCACCACTTGTCACCTTCTTGCCTATACAAAAAACTAGAATTAACAATAATACATATTCATATAAACTGCTTTATCCACATATTTGCGTGCTGCCGCTAATATACATATTCATACTCAAAACACTTGCTTTGCCGTCGGCAAATACAATTAATAAAGTCACAATCAAATCTTTGTGCTTGGTGTGCGTTCCGGCGCTAAAAAACCTGAAAAAACAAAAACTTACTCATCTGACATTAAGTAGATTTATCATTTGGACGTGTCGTCGCCAAACAATAAATAATAATAATATTTATATACTTATACACTAATTCTATCAATTATTTTGTCGTGCCGCCGGCATTTCACTCTTCTGAATTTTCCATCAATTTGATTCACTACATATACACAAATATTCGAAACAAAAATGTCACAACCAAAACAAACATCCTCTCCATCTTCTGGGCCGGCATTATCGCCAGGCCTGATCTCAGATCTATCTGATATGTCGCTATCGCCGATGTCGTTGCCCAAGCCAACAAAAACTGTGCTAATCGCACCAGACTTGATGGCGCCAACATCAATGACAACATCATTAGCAGGAACAACGACCCTGCCATCAGCCCCTGCACCCCCTGCCCATTCACCGGCTTCAATATTGCATGCCAGGCAGACGCAAGAGGGACAGCCAGCTAGATTGAGAACAAACGAGAACGGTGTGAACGAGACGAATATAACGCACGCTGCCATACCAGCAACAACTCTGTCATTTGCGGCGAATTCAAATTCGTCCGTCACCATTCATCAAAACAATATCAATAACAACAGAATTCTAACAGCTGATCAGCAAACACAGCTGGCACAATACAAAAGACTCATTGCACAGCTAGAGTCTGGCAGCTCTAATAATATACAAACACAACTAACAAATGTACGCAATATAGCTGGCCATGCCAACTATAATCAAAATATCAATAATAGCAACAATAATAAAAATGAAGGACGCTCCTCTAGTGACCTTTTTATTGATATTGAGGGTATCGATAGCGGTCCATCTGCATCAACAGCAGCTAACCTGCTGATGATCGCTACATCGCGACAGGTAATCCACTCATCTACCCCACCTGATTCAGCCATTGCTCCTCCACCTTTATCTCCAGCAGTCGCAACAGCAGCGGCATCATCAATAACAACAACAACATCAGAACCCCTACCTCTCCCATCACATGCAGCCGCATTGGCTAAGAATAATGATGTTCCACTAGCACAGATCACAATTACTAGCAGTGGAACTAGCAGCAGCACCGCCAGCATCAACAACGGTGATTACAACAATACTAATTTGCCCACTCCTGACGAAAACTCAGCAAATAATCATGCCACTGCGAGCGGTCTACTCCATAAGCAACTACACACGTCCGCTAAAGCTATCAGTCAAACACGGCGGAAAACCACACGCATCTCAAACCGCAAAATATCAACTAAATCCCGCCTGTCAAAACAAGAAGCGTTCCGCAATGCGCGAATAACATCAAATCGTTTCAGTCTTCTCTCTGAATCCGATTTTGATGCATCTGATCATCAGCCGCAACCGCAATCATCGCTTAAACAGCGACAAGCGAACACCATAATCAACTCTTCAACAACAAATAGCCTCGCAGCTGCTGTTCAATCAGCTCTATCAGCATGTCCGCCATCATTATCATTATCAGCACCAATAAAAACAACAACAACAACTCTCAACGCACCGACGGCTGCAGCAACAGCATCAGCAGCTACTTCATCTTCAGCCCCAATCGCAACAACAACAACAACAATCCCCACCTTCAATGCCGTCAATAATGCTTCCGTCAATAAGGCATCAAACTTCCCTTCTGCCCCCTTTCAACAACAACCCCAACAACATTCATCTGCTAGTTTCACTTCAAAACAGTTTAGACCACCACAAATCTGTGTTCAATATAATGAATTAAATCAGAACAACATTGATTCGTTAGTGACCAAATTAAACGAGCACAACCCACCCATAGTTGACTATAGTCTAAAATTGGGTGGCCCCTGCTACCTACGAATCATACCCAAATCAACCCAAACACATGATCATATCATCCGTATCCTTGAAACGGATAACACCATAAAGTATAATACCTATCAGAAGCGTGAAGAACGCTCAGTTCGAGTTGTTGTGCGAGGCATCCATGCCTCCATCAGCACGACTAATATCCGAAATGAGCTATCCGGTATGGGCTATATAATACATAATGTATATAGCCCCGTTTACCGGAATCGCAACGGTTCTGGCCACTATCGCCCAAATTTATTCCTCATTGAATTGGCCCCTAATTCAATGAAGAAACCAACAACAATTTTCGACGTCAGACAACTATGTAAATTCCTAGTCCGTTTTGAGTGGCCAAAAATTACCGCAATGTCACCGTTGTCAGCGATACAACCACACGGCACACTATTGTCGCCACAACCCGCGCTGTGTAAAATGCGGCAAGGAGCATCTATCCCAACAATGCACCAAGCCTGTCCATTTACCGGCAAACTATGCCAACTGCTCCCAATCGCACACGGCTAACTATAAGGGCTGCCCCTTATACCTAGATTTACTTAAAACAAAACTAATCTCAATCCCAAACATTCGGAACGGTCAGTCGAGGCAGCATCAGCCACCGATGCTGACTAATCCGAATATAAAGCGGAGGCAACGACGTCAGCCAATGCGCGCACAACAGCTGCAACAACAGCAACAAGCACACACGCCATTGCAAACGCAATTGCCGTTTAAACAACAGCCGCTGCCCCCACTGTCATTGCCCAAGCCAATAAATAAAAATCAAAAAACCAAAATGCGCAAGCAAAAATCAAAACGACAAAAACGAGCGCAGATAGAACGAGCACTAGCACAAAGGCAACAAACAAATGTTGTGAGCACCGCTAATGCTCCCATCATTGATAATAGCAACAATATCCCTATTAATAATGCACAATCTGTCATCAATTCTGCTCATAACTCAATCACACCGGCATCAAATGCCAATCTCTCAAAAACAATAACAGCTACAGCAACAACAACAACAGAAGCCGAAACAAGGAAAACATCACAAACCTTCACAAATTTGGACCCACGCCTAATATGGGCCAAAATACAAAGTATCCAACAACGGTTTGGCTCGGCGATTAACCGTGACCAGATTGTTCATATACAACGCCAGCAGCTGGATGCTCTTACATCCACACGGCATAATGTTACCTCAACTCAGCACTCGAACCAGCATGAGCCAATGCCAATGCAAATCGATGCTGAACATCAGCAACAGCCGCCACAACAACAACAACAAACTCTAATTCTTCCTACCTTTGAGCATAACTCAACCACCCAGTTACTGGTTCAGCTTGCCCAACGGCAACAAGAACAGCTTGACAAGTTGATGCGCTGTATGAGTGATGTTCAGCAGAAAATGCGTGATGACGACTCTGCTCTGCTAGCAACACCATCCTCATACAGCTCCAACTGAGGCTCTACACAAATAACCTATTAACTAACTGAAAAGAAAAGAAATTCTAACTTACCTTATAACATCTAACATCTTTCTCACCTACCTTTATTTATTCACCTTTTCACTACATTAACTAATATAAAACACCTGTACGTGTATGTGTTTGCCTGCATCGCTTGTTGCCACTCTTTGAAATTTCCCGCATCTAATTGCGCTCAACATCGGATGCACGCACACACACACACAAGCTCACGCTCTCACTCAGACGCGTGGCAAAACAAACTTTCAGCCCTCATGTCCATGTGCTGGCACACACTCAAACAAACGATGCGCAGCAATCGTCGCCTCGCCAGCACAAAATTATATGCTCGCCCATCGGCTCGCCAGACCAGCCGTCGCCGGATCAGCCCATTACCGCTTGTCTGCATCCCCTCAAGTGCGCACACAGACACGAAGTCTCAGTGATTACTCACACGCATGCGTAAACACACAGCCCAAACATAGCTCAGCTGATTGAACTTCATCATCAACATCCTCGTTATCATCATCACCATTATGCGCAAACCAACGGCGACAACAACAACACCATCAATCATCAACTGCCGCTACATGAAACAAGCAAACATCCTTTAGTAGCAGCCGCCGTCGAATAGCAACATCAACAACAACAATCAACAACTACAGCTTTAATCAACAACTTTATTTAATACACATATATATATATACATATTAACTGCATATTAACCAAATAGACTCCCCCATACTTCCATATGTAATGAGTTGTAGCATGAGAGTAATTTAGGCTCTCGGATTGCTGAGCTGGTGCTACTGTTTCTACTAAAGAAACTGCCTTTTCCAATGTGAGAGAATGGCACCGTCTCAATAATCCTTACACATACATATACATATAGAAATTCTCTTCATTGAAATATTTTCGAGGGATCCATTCTCAATATCTGATGAAATTTCTCAATTACATGCCGCAAACCCATAAAAAATCTCATTCGACGATTCAAAATGTAATATTATCGCAGATGCAAATCGCAATGTCCATTTGAACACACTAAGCACGTACACACAAATAATAACAGGCCGCCATGTAAACCTACTACACGGTGGCAACTTTTCCTAACGCTGCATACCCGTCGCAATCATATATTCATACATGCATAAATATGTACACGCAAGCGCACAAACTTGCTGGTATATATTTGTAGACATATATACGCACGAACGCAAGCACCCGCTCTGTCATAACAAAATATAAACAACAACACAGACACGCTATCGCCGATGTCGTTGCCCAAGCCAACAAAAACTGTGCTAATCGCACCAGACTTGATGGCGCCAACATCAATGACAACATCATTAGCAGGAACAACGACCCTGCCATCAGCCCCTGCACCCCCTGCCCATTCACCGGCTTCAATATTGCATGCCAGGCAGACGCAAGAGGGACAGCCAGCTAGATTGAGAACAAACGAGAACGGTGTGAACGAGACGAATATAACGCACGCTGCCATACCAGCAACAACTCTGTCATTTGCGGCGAATTCAAATTCGTCCGTCACCATTCATCAAAACAATATCAATAACAACAGAATTCTAACAGCTAGAGTCTGGCAGCTCTAATAATATACAAACACAACTAACAAATGTACGCAATATAGCTGGCCATGCCAACTATAATCAAAATATCAATAATATCAACAATAATAAAAATGAAGGACGCTCCTCTAGTGACCTTTTTATTGATATTGAGGGTATCGATAGCGGTCCATCTGCATCAACAGCAGCTAACCTGCTGATGATCGCTACATCGCGACAGGTAATCCACTCATCTACCCCACCTGATTCAGCCATTGCTCCTCCACCTTTATCTCCAGCAGTCGCAACAGCAGCGGCATCATCAATAACAACAACAACATCAGAACCCCTACCTCTCCCATCACATGCAGCCGCATTGGCTAAGAATAATGATGTTCCACTAGCACAGATCACAATTACTAGCAGTGGAACTAGCAGCAGCACCGCCAGCATCAACAACGGTGATTACAACAATACTAATTTGCCCACTCCTGACGAAAACTCAGCAAATAATCATGCCACTGCGAGCGGTCTACTCCATAAGCAACTACACACGTCCGCTAAAGCTATCAGTCAAACACGGCGGAAAACCACACGCATCTCAAACCGCAAAATATCAACTAAATCCCGCCTAACAAAACAAGAAGCGTTCCGCAATGCGCGAATAACATCAAATCGTTTCAGTCTTCTCTCTGAATCCGATTTTGATGCATCTGATCATCAGCCGCAACCGCAATCATCGCTTAAACAGCGACAAGCGAACACCATAATCAACTCTTCAACAACAAATAGCCTCGCAGCTGCTGTTCAATCAGCTCTATCAGCATGTCCGCCATCATTATCATTATCAGCACCAATAAAAACAACAACAACAACTCTCAACGCACCGACGGCTGCAGCAACAGCATCAGCAGCTACTTCATCTTCAGCCCCAATCGCAACAACAACAACAACAATCCCCACCTTCAATGCCGTCAATAATGCTTCCGTCAATACGGCATCAAACTTCCCTTCTGCCCCCTTTCAACAACAACCCCAACAACATTCATCTGCTAGTTTCACTTCAAAACAGTTTAGACCACCACAAATCTGTGTTCAATATAATGAATTAAATCAGAACAACATTGATTCGTTAGTGACCAAATTAAACGAGCACAACCCACCCATAGTTGACTATAGTCTAAAATTGGGTGGCCCCTGCTACCTACGAATCATACTCCATCAGCACGACTAATATCCGAAATGAGCTATCCGGTATGGGCTATATAATACATAATGTATATAGCCCCGTTTACCGGAATCGCAACGGTTCTGGCCACTATCGCCCAAATTTATTCCTCATTGAATTGGCCCCTAATTCAATGAAGAAACCAACAACAATTTTCGACGTCAGACAACTATGTAAATTCCTAGTCCGTTTTGAGTGGCCAAAAATTGATGGCAAAAAATTACCGCAATGTCACCGTTGTCAGCGATACAACCACACGGCACACTATTGTCGCCACAACCCGCGCTGTGTAAAATGCGGCAAGGAGCATTTATCCCAACAATGCACCAAGCCTGTCCATTTACCGGCAAACTGTGCCAACTGTTCCCAATCGCACACGGCCAACTATAAGGGCTGCCCCTTATACCTAGATTTACTTAAAACAAAACTAATCTCAATCCCAAACATTCGGAACGGTCAGTCGAGGCAGCATCAGCCACCGATGCTGACTAATCCGAATATAAAGCGGAGGCAACGACGTCAGCCAATGCGCGCACAACAGCTGCAACAACAGCAACAAGCACACACGCCATTGCAAATGCAATTGCCGTTTAAACAACAGCCGCTGCCCCCACTGTCATTGCCCAAGCCAATAAATAAAAATCAAAAAACCAAAATGCGCAAGCAAAAATCAAAACGACAAAAACGAGCGCAGATAGAACGAGCACTAGCACAAAGGCAACAAACAAATGTTGTCAGCACCGCTAATGCTCCCATCATTGATAATAGCAACAATATCCCTATTAATAATGCACAATCTGTCATCAATTCTGCTCATAACTCAATCACACCGGCATCAAATGCCAATCTCTCAAAAACAATAACAGCTACAGCAACAACAACAACAGAAGCCGAAACAAGGAAAACATCACAAACCTTCACAAATTTGGACCCACGCCTAAGATGGGCCAAAATACAAAGTATCCAACAACGGTTTGGCTCGGCGATTAACCGTGACCAGATTGTTCATATACAACGCCAGCAGCTGGATGCTCTTACATCCACACGGCATAATGTTACCTCAACTCAGCACTCGAACCAGCATGAGCCAATGCCAATGTAAATCGATGCTGAACATCAGCAACAGCCGCCACAACAACAACAACAAACTCTAATTCTTCCTACCTTTGAGCATAACTCAACCACCCAGTTACTGGTTCAGCTTGCCCAACGGCAACAAGAACAGCTTGACAAGTTGATGCGCTGTATGAGTGATGTTCAGCAGAAAATGCGTGATGACGACTCTGCTCTGCTAGCAACACCATCCTCATACAGCTCCAACTGAGGCTCTACACAAATAACCTATTAACTAACTGAAAAGAAAAGAAATTCTAACTTACCTTATAACATCTAACATCTTTCTCACCTACCTTTATTTATTCACCTTTTCACTACATTAACTAATATAAAACACCTGTACGTGTATGTGTTTGCCTGCATCGCTTGTTGCCACTCTTTGAAATTTCCCGCATCTAATTGCGCTCAACATCGGATGCACGCACACACACACACAAGCTCACGCTCTCACTCAGACGCGTGGCAAAACAAACTTTCAGCCCTCATGTCCATGTGCTGGCACACACTCAAACAAACGATGCGCAGCAATCGTCGCCTCGCCAGCACAAAATTATATGCTCGCCCATCGGCTCGCCAGACCAGCCGTCGCCGGATCAGCCCATTACCGCTTGTCTGCATCCCCTCAAGTGCGCACACAGACACGAAGTCTCAGTGATTACTCACACGCATGCGTAAACACACAGCCCAAACATAGCTCAGCTGATTGAACTTCATCATCAACATCCTCGTTATCATCATCACCATTATGCGCAAACCAACGGCGACAACAACAACACCATCAATCATCAACTGCCGCTACATGAAACAAGCAACATCCTTTAGTAGCAGCCGCCGTCGAATAGCAACATCAACAACAACAATCAACAACTACAGCTTTAATCAACAACTTTATTTAATACACATATATATATATACATATTAACTGCATATTAACCAAATAGACTCCCCCATACTTCCATATGTAATGAGTTGTAGCATGAGAGTAATTTAGGCTCTGGGATTGCTGAGCTGGTGCTACTGTTTCTACTAAAGAAACTGCCTTTTCCAATGTGAGAGAATGGCACCGTCTCAATAATCCTTACACATATACATATAGTAATTCTCTTCATTGAAATATTTTCGAGGGATCCATTCTCAATATTTGATGAAATTTCTTAATTACATGCCGCAAACCCATAAAAAATCTCATTCGACGATTGAAAATGTAATATTATCGCAGATGCAAATCGCAATGTCCATTTGAACACACTAAGCACGTACACACAAATAATAACAGGCCGCCATGTAATCCTACTACACGGTGGCAACTTTGCCTAACGCTGCATACCCGTCGCAATCATATATTCATACATGCATAAATATGTACACGCAAGCGCACAAACTTGCTGGTATATATTTGTAGACATATATACGCACGAACGCAAGCACCCGCTCTGTCATAACAAAATATAAACAACAACACAGTCACGCACACACACATGCGCACACGCCTGCTTTTGCTCATTGTGAGCTCTTATATCGTCCTCTTGGCATTTACAAATTCCAAAATTCTTAAAAATATTCTAATAAATACAAAGAACTCACAGAATCCCTTTAAAATATTTCAATCCAAAATAAAAGAATCTTTCTTTTACACTTAGAAACGCATAAAACAGCGTAACTCCTGCCAATTACCTGCTGGCTTATGGTAAACATTGTTTACTGACGCCGCACCAACTCCAACTGTATATTACGTCCACTCCTATCACACCACATCTAATGTATACTATTTAATATCTAATACTTAGTATTTATTTACAATTACAACAAATTATCTCATAATTGTTTTCACACATCACACACTGTACTAAACACACACACAAAAATCAAATCGAATCAAATTCAAAACATTTGTTTATAGTCTTAAGACTTAACCATAACCACAAAATACCCATTAACACTTGTCATCAAAAATTGTTAAACATTTATAACGTTTATCCAACTGAAAAGTAATATATATCAATAAATAAATTTCTGGTCTGAGAATAGGAGATTGAGCGCATTCACGTTCCCAATTGGAGACGGGTGACTGAGTGAGTGGATGAGCGGCCATTGAGTTGGAGTCGAAATTGGAGTCGGATTTGGAGTGTCTTGTTGTCATGTCTCGCTGTCTATCTATCTCTCCCGCTCGGAGTCGGAGCTGGAGTCGGACCCGGAGCTGGAGTCGGACCCGGAGTTGGAGTGTCTCGCTGCCTTGCTGTCTCGCTGTCCCTCTGTCTCGCCCGCTCGCTCGCTCGCTTGCCCGCTCCTGGCAACCTGCCGCTCGCTCCCCGATTCCCAGTCGCATGAAGCCACTTACCCAGAAAAGACGTGTTTTCCTTAGCCTTAAAAGCGTACGGACGTGTGTCGGAACTGTAAATTTTTAATTGAGAAAGTTAAAGCAAATTATATTTCGAGACTCTGACAATTGTGAAATAGTTAAACAGTGAAATAGTGAAACTGTGAAATAGTGCGATTAGTGGAGGTGAGAGTATAGAAGTCGAGAATAGATTGAGGGGAGAAATTTTGAACACGTGCCCCAGCCTATGTATTTATATACATAGGTGTGTGTGCGACACATAGTACATATATTCTGTGTACGTGTATGTGCTCAGTTGTGCAGTCTCCAGCACATACCGTTCTTCTTTCTCCTCCTTTATTCTTACATACCGCATGCGTGCATGCATAAGTGTATACGCTTGCTTATATAGCATGCCTGTGTGCACATATGTGCGGCTAAACTCTCTTCCTTCGCTTTTTCCACAACCAACTCCTCTCAAAACGTCATTGCCAACGACATTGACATTGACACTTACCTGCACCTAACCTTAAAAAAAAAAAACTACTTAACTAATCAACGACTAAATATAACATAACCTAACATCATCAACCAATAAATTGCTGTGTGCTCACATATTTTCAACTCTATTCTCTGCGAAAAACTAAAATTAAAATCACTCCATCATCACATATATATATATATATATATACTCACATAAGAGAGAGCAATTTCTTTACAACAATATCCAAATCTTCACACACATATAACTATATCAACACAAAAACACAAATATCTAATTCAACAAAAACAAAAAGAGACACACAAGGTATTTAATTACAAAGTTACACATATATACTTTTTTTTTTTTTTTTTTTGTTTCTTCCATTCAATTGACATAACTAAGCAACTGAACCGATATAACAAACCAGCAAGCGAGAATATATATATGTACATGTATGTATTAAATTTGTCCTGTGCACGATAGTTGCTGCCGCGCAACTAGCTTTCTACTATACATCTCACGCATTCATATATATATACTTACACGCTCACTCGCACAAATACACTAATACCCATCACTTCTGCTCAAAACTAAAAACAAAAACATTGTACACATCCCACAAAAAAGTCACACATCTATTATACATACACACACTTACACATCATTCTTACTTACACAATATATATGCGAGCGCATGCGTGTGTGTGCTCATATACGCATGAAATTTTGTCCACGTCACCCCTTTGGCTCCACTCTCACCCCTATCCATCTTGCACACTGGCACACTTTGGACACTGAGAAAGAGAGAGCGCACAAGCGGAGAGAAGCACAACCAT